TAATGATTTTAGGAGAAAGGAGAGTTTAAGATGGAAAATGGAGATTTATCTTACAGAGAGATGTGTGAGGGAATTAATCTGTTTGACCAGAAACGTGCACGCTCTTTGGGGGATCAGCTTGGCCACGGTGCACTTGGTCGAAAATAGAACCTTCTACCTGGTTGATGATAAAATCAGCGTCGGCGTAGGGTTCCTTTCTGACTCTTTCAGCGTCTCCATGAGGACAGCCAAACCCTTAGAGAGTCGTGCGAGGTTATCCAAACAGAAGTTGTAACTCCCAAAATCCTCTCTGCATCCTGTCTCGTCAGAATTCTGAACTCCTTCAGAACTCTCTTCAGAGAGTTAAACTCTGGAACTCTCTTTAGCTCTTTAACTCTGTTACTCTCATGTTGAACTCATTCCTGAGCGCAGCAACAGACTGAACTGGGAAGTTGCCACATTTTAAATGGGTCGACTTCCGGGTCATTTGAGAGCTTTTTGATTGGTCGATGGACCAGAAAAGAGGTGTGGTTTGTGATGTAAGGTGTTATCAAAGTCAAGGGCAGAGAATGAGATTGTTTAAAAACAGACAGAAAGATTATTGGAGAAAACCAGACTTTGTGGAGTCAAACTCTCCTGTATCTTCTGTGAAGATTAAACATGACATTTCTTCTCAGTAAACATTTTAGTTGACCGAAACCTGACTTTTAACATACTTACAAATTTGCTCATTGAAGACAGAAAAATCAAGAAATGCATATTAACCTGATTTCTTCTTTGAATGAGGAATAAAAATCATTACTTACTGTTCATGTAAATAAAATGAGTAGTTCTCTTCAACCTGTAAACATTGAGTGAACTAACACAATTTGATTATCAAACATTTGTAAAATAGTAATGATCATAGAGGATTGTCTTTTCTACTTGATTACTTCAAGAAAGAAAGTCTCCAGATGGCTCAAACTGTATTTCTGGATGCAGATCAATGAAATAACAGTCTCTGTCCATCTGGTCAGTTTTGACATGGGCCTAGGTTCACTACAGGGGTGTGGGTGGGTAACAGAGGAGAAGCAGCAGAGAGGTGGAGGACTACAACTCTGCTTCCTGGACTGGACCCTGGGTTGTCAATAATTTGGGGGATAAACAAAATCAGCCATATTTCTAAGCTTGGTCTGGTTGTTCATGCAGCTGCGAACAGCACAGCAGGTACCTGAACCCTGGTAGGACATTTTAGTAAACTTCACGTTTAAACAGAAATGATTGCTTTGATAAACTGAATGCAAATAACTTACAAAAACATTAAAAGGCAGAAACAGCAATTCACGAGTTCTGTCTGACCCAAACTGTGGCCTTGACAGTGGACTTGTCTCAACTCCTACTGGAATGTTTTGAAAAAAAAAAAAACAAAGATGCTTTGTCTGTCTCCTCACCCCTCCCTTCCCCAAGCCTGTGGACATGTGACAGAACCCCAACCGAGCTGATGATAAATAACACCTCTTATCTAGACTATGCTATGACTTTCCCTTAAAAATTCAATGTTTTCACCGGCCTATATGTACATGTATAACGTCAGTTTATGTGCTGTTGTGGTAGTTTTTTTTTGATCCCTCAAATCATGCCCTGTCTAGGACATGGAGTGAGAGATCTTTTTTATACCGTCTCTCCTCATGTTTTCTTCCCTTTTCTCATCTAAGCAAAAATATTATTCTGAATAAGAATAATGAGGGCCGCGCTTTCATAGTAGCAGCTTCATGCTCTATGTCAATCTTTCGGACGACTGTACGTGCATGTTCTTGTTGTATCTCAGTGCAATGATAATAAAGTTTATTCTAATTCCAATTCTGAAAAAAACCTGCGGTCCGTTCTCCACCAATATATTACTACTTTCGGTGTCGGACCAGAAGTTTCTTACTGAAACGCTTCTACAGTAAAGGCACCAGGAATAAGGTATAATATGATAATTTTATCAAGTTTTGTGTTTTATTTTGCAAACCGGAACTTCACTCTGTCCCCTCGTAACCGTTATTGTGAGCTGCTTCACCATCTTCCCTCACAGTGCTGTATCGCATGGATGAGGGGGGTCAGTGCCTGGTGTTTGTTGTTGCGTCAAAAACAATTCTGCTGGCAGAGGGCCCCTCTGTGCCAAGGGCTCCTGGGCACATGCCCAGATTGCCTGTATGGTAGACCTGGCCTTGCTCATGAAGACTAGCTGCTGGCTCTGATGTTAACTAGTTCTCCAAATTGAGCTTGGTCACAGTTTCTACAACAAGAACAATTTTAATTGTTTACACCTTTTCCATAAAAGCCCACTTGAAGATGAAAAGGACACCCACCACTGATGATGTGGCAGTGGTTGTATTGGTCCTGGTCCCGGACGTCCAGCAGCAGGTAGGGGCAGTCAGGATATGGTGTGTTAAGTGGGGAAGGGCTGGACACTGGCTCACCGGCCATCTGTCGACTAATTTCATCCAAGTTCAGCTCCCCTACACCACTGATGACACTGTGAACAAACAGAGGCTCTAACTGTCAATGTGACAACTTTTCCTTACAGTTATCTTCATAACATGAGGTAAACAACCGTTATTATGGCAGCTGAATAACAATAAGACTGCAAAGCACTCTTATTCAATGGGTTAAATGTCTTTATTTCTGTAACAGTCATTTGGACTAGTATACAAAACCTTGCTTTGAAATTCAAATAGTCGCCAGGGAGGGTGTCCTGTTCATAGTCTTTGTGTGAGGCTGGTCTCTGAAGTATATCAGCTGTTTTGTGGAGACACTGTCTCCAGTTTAGGCTTCAGACCTTCCATTACCTTAGTCATAAGCTAGGAGGAAACTTGCTAACTTAAGCCAAATTGCATGCTCTGTTGTGAATTTGTTTACAGGACTTAGGACTTAACAGGACAGGGCTTTTTGAGTCAAATTGGCAGTAACTATGTGCCGCGATTAATACGGACATTTTGATACCATACCATACCATTCCACTTCATTTATAAAGCACTTAAAACAGCTACAAGTCCAACCAAAGTGCTGTACAGACAAAACAACAGGTAACACACCAAGCAAAATACAAAATGAAGTAAATCAGAATATAGACATAAAAACGATGCAGATAATGACGACAAATCAGTGTGGAGCATACAGGATCATCTGGTGTTGAAAGCTACTGAATAGTAGTGAGTTTTTAAACGGGACTTGAAAACCGAGAGGGAGATGACCTGCCATAGCTTTTAGAGTCTAATAGTGTCTCTCAAAGTTTTTGAGCACTGACAAAAACAAACAAACAAACAAAAAAAAAAACAGTACCTCCACTATCCAACATTTTTCAGTCAGGTCATCTAGACAATTTCTTTTTTTTTTTTTTGTGCTGTAAAGGTTTGTCTTCGATCTGGTCAAGGAAACACACAACACAAACTGATTCTTCCCTGAACAGCTTACTCCAAAGTGGAACAAACCAGTTATGCTTGTGATAAGATGGTCTCTTTGGCACGCCCCCTCCTCCATTGCCGGCCCTCTTCCTTGTTGACAGTCATGTCAAACTGGTTGAAAACAACAAAGTCCATGCTCAATAATCCAGGTATACAATCCATTAGTACCTATATTAGTTTCCATTAGACAAGCTTTTGCTGTCCTGCATGCAATTTTGTGAATCTATTCAAGTGATCTCGGCCTAAGAAACAGGAAAATATGCTCAAAAGTAATCCAGGGTATACTTTCATCTGCTGTGTGAGTTTTATATCATATGTCTTGCAGAGTCATGTTAGAGGACGGAGACATGTTGGAGGGCGGAGACATGTCGGAGGGCAGAGACATGTTGGAGGGCGGAGACATGTTGGGGGCAGAGACATGTTGGAGGGCAGAGACATGTTAGAGGGCGGAGACATGTTGGAAGTAGGAATGTGTGATATGTCATAAAATTTATATCACGATATGTATTGTGAAGGGTGTGATAACGATATACAGGTCCTTCTCAAAAAATTAGCATATTGTGATAAAGGTCATTATTTTCCATAATGTAATGATAAAAATGAAACTTTCATATATTTCAGATTCATTGCACACCAACTGAAATATTTCAGGTCTTTAATTGTTT